GGAGGGGGGGGAATGGGACACCTGTAATACTTTCAACAATAAAGATTTTTTAAAAAGAGTCTTTACCAGTTTGATGGTGGCAATGCCTTTAACTTATTGATGAAGTCTAACATTTTATAAAAAGCTTTTGGAGCTACTTATGTTTCTTCCTTGGTGAAGTGAATTGCCAGGTTATGACTTTCAGTTGTTTTCCTATTGGGGTATTGATGTGTTTGTGGTCCGTTTACTTATGCAGCAGCAAATATTTCCTGAGTGTCTGTTACATGCCAGGCAGTCTTCCAAGAGCTGGGGACACAGCAATGAACAAAACACAGACGTCTGCCCTGCAGGGAGCAGATGTTCTGGAGAGAGGAGACAGACAGGGAGCCCGGAGACAAGGACAAGATTTGTAAAAACTAAAACTCTTTGTAGGTATAGGATGATCACACTTTGTCATACAGTTTCCCCAGTTTGTCGTTTGCTTTAGAATTTTATTTGTGTTGCATTCCGTCTTAGAGAGCTTCTTAATTTTATTTGCTTTTTACTGTGGCATAATTTTAGGTTTACAGAAAAGTTGCGAAGATAGTACATACAGAGCTCCCATGTGCCCTTCACCCAGCTTCCCCCGACATTAGCCGCTCACATAACTTGCCCATTTGGATTTCACCAGTTCTTCTACTAATGTCCTTTTTTTTCCTGCCCTAGAACCCAATCCAGGATACCATATCATACTTATGAAATTTTTAATTTTAATGCAGTAACATCTGTTAGTTTTTATTGCTCATTTTGTTCTTAGAGAATCCTTCCATATCCTGAGATCTGATAAAATACTAATCTATATTTTGTTTTAGCTTTTTATGGTTGCATTTTAAAAATTATTTATTTCTTTAAACCATCTGGGATTTATTTGAGTGCAAAGTGTAAATTGGGATCTAACTTTTTTCTGAATAGTTGGTAGACTGTACAGTTCTCTATAATGAATTCTTTTCTTTGCTGACTTGTGAAACAACTTTTGTCAAACATAAAAGACTTAGATGTCTTAGGTTCTGTTTCCAGGCCACTGGTTCCATTGCATTGATTTTTCTATTGATCGCTGTATCAGTTTTTCACTGTTTTGACAGTTACGTCTTTATAGTATGTTTTCATATATGGTACAACAAGACCCTCTCCTCCTTTAGCTTTATGAAAATAATATTAATAAAAATAATTATCCCACTTATGTGCCAGGTCCTGGGTTGGGCACCACAGATAAGATATGAATGACCAAGTGCCATCTTTAAGGAAGCCAGTCTGGGGCGAGGGGGCAGACATGCGAGCCAGGCAGACTGTGTGTGCTAGAGAGTGGGTGACTTGGGAGGGGCCACAGAGTCAACCTGGAGCAGTGGGAGAAGACTTGACCTCTGACTGACTGGAGTAAGAGTTAGAGAAGCAGGAAGGGCATTTTAGGCAGAAGGAACAGTGTAAAGAGGACTGGAGCTGAAAAAGATGCAGCATGTTTAGGGGACTGTATGCAGTTGGACTTGGAGCTTTAAGTACTAGGGGTGGCCTGGGGGTGGGAGGAGGTGAGACTACAGAGGGAGGTGAGACTGGGTCCTGGAGGGCCTTGACTGCTGAAGGAGGTGTTCAGTTGATCCCAAGGGCCTTCCTATCCATTCAATCCCTGACTCTCTTTCCAGGAACATGTTCCCAGCCAACCTGGTAGAAGCCACATTCAAACAGGTGAGTGGGTCCCTAGGGGATAAAAGGGTGGCAGGCAGGGCCAGCCTGGACCCAACTGGGTAGTGACAGGTTTACCAGCAAGTCTCCCCATCTCCTGGGGGCAGGATGCTAGAGGGAAGAGGAGGAGGGGGAACTTAGATCCTTAGAGCTTCCCGAGGCCATAGCCCTGCTCTGGGTTCCAGCTTTGCACAAAGAAAAACTGTGAGGGTGGAGCACCACTTTACAGGGTGCTGCTCCGCTCTACATTTACAGTGGGGCTTACAAAGTCCTCACAGTCCTCAAAATAACCTGCCCTCAGGTAAGGTTAACCCCTCTCTGGATGAGGAAACTGAGGCTGGGAGGATTAAGGAATCTGCCCAAGGTTATACCACTAGTAAATGGTAGCCTAGTAGGTAAACCTAGGCCTGTCTACTTCTAGGCCTGTTTTTCTTTTAAAATAATTATTTCCCCCTAATAAGAATAGTAATAGCGTTCACTATAAAATATTAGGAAAATACTAAAAAATATAAAACAGAAAATAAAAGTTATCTCTAGTTCCAGCACCTAGCAATAGTGGTATTAGTTGGTACACTTCTCGTGTTTTTTTTTTTCTCTCTAAATAAATATGTTTTTAAAAGTAAAATTAGGATCATAGTGCATGTACAGCATGTACCTTCTTCCCCCCCCCCCACTCCCTCGGGGAGAAGAGGAAAGGTAGGCAGCTCAGTGGCTCATCAAGGAGGCTTGGGGCAAGCTGAACTTTTCAAATACGGGCATACGTTGGAGCTACTACAGGTTAAGTTCCAGACCACCACAATAAAACGAGTATTGCAATAAAAGAAGTAGCAATCTTTTTGCTGGTGGAGGGCCGTGTTTTCAATTTGTAACAACAACAACACCACATACACACACACAATATCTGTGAAGCACAGGAAAGCAAGGTGCAATAAAATGAAGTGGCCTATAGAAGGTCCAAGATTCCATCAGTGGCAGGCAGGGCTGGCTGTTAGGTGGGTGGGTAATGGGTGGTTAGAAGGGATAGATGGTAAACAGAGAATTACCCAGGTAGTTGAAGAAAAAGAGAGACAGATGGTTAGAGAGGGACCCAGAGGCTGTAATGATTCTTAGAAGGAAGAAGAGGGGAGAAGGAATGGAGAGAGGCGTGGCTGGGTAGTGTGTGAATGAACGAAGGAATCGGTTTTCTTTTGGTAAAATATTGATAATAATCCCTGTCCTGCCTACCTCACAGGGTTATTGTCAATCAGATAGTTCATGAGTGGATACAAATGTGTTTCCAAGAAGTTATTATTATTGTTGTTGTTGATATTAATAACAACATTGGCCCTCACTCCTTCCTGGTTGGGGTGTCGCCACCAGTACCGCACCAAGACCACACCCATTGTCAAGTCCCCCAAAGTGGCATTGGAGGAGGCCCCTTCTCGGCGGATCTTCATCTATGGGGTCCAGGAAGAGAATGGCTCTCACGTTCAGAACTTCACCCTGGACCTGACCCCGCCACCTGAGGTCATTTACAAGTCAGAGCCTGGCACCAGTGATGGCATGAACGTGCTGGGCATCGTCATGTTCTCTGCCACCATGGGTACGTGCTGCCCACCCCACCCCATAGTGCCAGGGAGCCAGTCCCTCCCTGCACCTATCCCTCCCTGTACCTATCCCTCCCTGCACCTACCCTCCCTGCACCTACCCTCCCTGCACCTACCCTCCCTGCACCTACCCTCCCTGCACCTATCCCTCCCTGCACCTACCCTCCCTGCACCTACCCTCCCTGTACCTACCCTCCCTGCACCTACCCTCCCTGCACCTACCCTCCCTGCACCTACCCTCCCTGTACCTTTCCCTCCCTGCATCTACCCTCCCTGTACCGATCCCTCCCTGCAACTACCCCTCCCTGCACCCAGCAACCTGAGTAACCTGGAGTCTCCCATCTTCCGGGCAGTTCCTTCCTTTCCCTTCCAGTGGAGTGGCTCCAGCCCTCCCCGCAGTTGGAGCCAGTGTTCCTCACATGGAATTCTCTATCCCTGGGTGCTAGTTTGCCTCCAGGGGTGCGGGCCCTCCCTCAAAGCAGGCCATGCCTCTGGCCCTTCCTGTTCTGAACTTTTTACTGAGGTCTGGGAATACTGGGGGGAGGGTGGGGAGTTATAATAAAAAACAGGAGAAGTCTAAAAACTAGCAGCCATGCCAGGGGTTATTATGCATCTTATTCTACAATTGGCAGCAACCTCCCCATCACCCCAGCAGAGGGAGGGCCTGGGAAGTGCTCTCCTGCTTCCTTGACTTCTCCGTGTGTGTGTGTGTGTGTGTGTGTGTGTGTGTGTGTGTGTGTGTGTGTGTTTCAAGTAAAAAGCCTCTCTATCCTCTGGTTGCTCATAGCAAGAAACCTGGGTGTCATTTTCTACCTCACCCTCTGCCTCATCAGGTCAGCCTCTGAAATCTCTCCAATCCCTGCATTTCCCTCTGCCCACTGCCACCACTCTGGTCCAAGGCTGTTGTCATCTCTCACCTGGTTTCATCAAAAGCCACCTAAAGAGTCCCCTGCCCTGGTATGTCCTCCTCATGGGGTCACAAAATCCCTGCTTAGGGCCTCCAGTGGCTCTCCACTCCGCCTGGAAAGGGGCCCCAACACCCTGCAGCCCTGAGTGATCAGGCCCAGCCTACTTCCCCCGCTCCTCTGGGTCCTACTCACTCA